ACAAGATTAAAAATAGATTTTACTTTTGTTGAACTTGTTGGGTTCTGTGACCCAAATTCGGACTAGGGTTTGCGTGGTTTGGAGTATTGGGCTTAAAAAGGTGAAATAAGGTCCATAGAGGAAAAAAGGGAATTGATGGTGCCCACCTCCTGCCAGCCCAACGCTTGAGAGGCTGGGCAGATTTTTCGATAGGGAGTTGTCGCTTGTCTAACGCTAGTTGGGCACTTGAGCCCCACCTTGGATTTTTATTTTATTATTATTATTTAGGACTTGGTATGCACCTCTATAAATAGTAGACTCTTCCTTACAAGTTTAGTATTGTTGAAAGTTGGAATCATTGTGTAGGAACACAATTATTGTATTTTCTCTCCATTATAGTTGTTCAATAAAATCTCTTATTCATCTGTCACTTAAATTTTTGTTTCTTGTGCTCTTGTTGCTGTGATCAATATTTCATATCGTGTCGTATAACCTCATCCCATTTTCAACAAGTGCTATTAGAGTTTTGATTTGATTTGTTTTAGATTTTTTGTTCTTGATGGTAACCATGAAGTATGACTTCTGCTTTTGGATTGCAGCACTAGATTTTCGTTGTGGTAGCTGAAGATGCAAGCGAGACTTGTTCAAATAAATTTGGATAATGCGTTGTTGGAATTTGACAAGATACCTACAACTTAGACGACGGAAAAAAAACAACGGAAGGATCGGAAGCACTTTCACAAATTCATTTTCGTCTTCATCTTTCAAATAATATTTTTTTAGGACATTTTGAAGAAGAAAATGACAGCTACGTTATGGTTGAAGTTGTAGCAATTGTGCAAAACCAAGAGTCTAACAAGCAAATTGTACATGAAGTAGAGGTAGTATTCTCATCGCATGATAGAATGCGGATCATTGGAAGATCATGTGACTGTTTTTAAGAAGATCGTAACTGATTTGAAGACTCTAGAGATAACGTATGATGAAGAAGGTTTGACCTTAATTCTTTTGTGCTCATTGCCCGTTTCATTTAACGATACGATCTTGTGTAGTTGTGATACTCTCGTCATTGAAGATGCGTATGATGCTTTTGTTTCCGAATAAGAAGATGAAACATATGGTGGTCACGAAAGTGGCTGTTTGTTTTTATTGCAAGAAGAAATGTCGCATCAAGAGGGATTGCAACAAGTTGCAGAATAAAGATAAGTTGACTATAAATTAGAAGGAAAGGCAATCAGATATTTCAGGCGAAGTCGATGTTGCAGAGAACTATTTGAGTGATGGGGATATTTTGGCTATTTTTGACGACAAATCTAAACTTGACGAGGATTGATTCTGGATTCAGCTTGTGCTTTTCATGCGTCTCAATTAGGATATGTTTGTTACATATTCATTATGAAAGTACAAACCGCAAGTGCATGAGTCACGTTCAAATAATAAAGTCGATTTTTTGAGTTTGAGTTGTCGATTCGTCAACGAATGTTTACTTTCGATTACACTACTCTAGTCAAATTAATTCTAACAATAAAAAAACACATTTAAGATTTTACTTTAAAAATAAGGAAAACATAACTAAAAATCCACAAAATAAGAAGATATAAACACTTGGAAATTTTGGAAGAAAACGAAGTTGAGATTCATGGTTTCCATTAACCATCGCCTAATTAACTTTTCCACAAACCAATTAACAAATTACTCATTTATGATGTTAGACTCAATTTTTTAATTTTATTTAATTATCTCTCTCGAGCAAAATTAAATCTAATTGATAGGTTTAACCTAGAGTATTTCTATATCAATTAAAACTAAACAATTGCATTAAATTTTTGTGAAAATAGCTCAATAGGTCACCTAAAGTTAGGGGTATATCTCTATTATCTACAAAAACATATTGTTTTTACTATTTGGTTTAAAACGCACAATATTTTTTCAACAATGTATAAATCAATAAACATGATCATTCATTGGCCAAATAAATAAAAATGCAAGAAATACAATAGTAGATACACATGAATATAAGTATTTTAACATTAAAAAGCCAATAGTGAAATTAATTAACGTTAGGGTAAACTACTACCATAAATTTCAACACAATAAATTAGCTAATTTTGTATATATGATAACAAAGAAGAATATTTATTCGATACATTACAAATGATTGAGAAATAATAAGGAAAATACAAGATTAAAGATAAAACCCTTTTGGTTGGATTTTTGAATATAATAATGGCTTGAATCTTGAGTTTTCCAAATCTTCTCCACCTTTTCTTTAATATATTACCCTTGTGCTCTAATTGTTCCTCAAATTACCAAGAAAATGTAAAGGAAAAGAAAAGAAAATCAAAGTAAAGAGAAAGCAAGAAAAATGAAAAGAAAAAGGAATTAAAAAAAACCATCTAATGCCAGTGGTTGCATGTCTTTAAAACTCTAGAATGTTTGTTTAAAAGTTGCAGTTCAAGTCCCCAAATTTTGGAAAAACATTTAAAATGGACTTGACTCTTTTTTCAAATAAAAATGGTTCCTAGGCGCCAACTCTCTAGAAAAAAAAAAAAAAAATTGGGTTCATTTTGAAGCCAAGTCCCTCAAATAACCGAATGTCAGGCCTCTCAACTTTGATATTGTACAATTTGGTCCTCAGCTTTTGACTTCAGTTTCAATAAACCCCTTCATAAATTGCAAATTCAAGTCCTTTAACTATCTATCCTTATGCAGTTTGGTCCCCAACTTCACATTTTTGCATGATCTTGATCCCTTTTCTTCCTTTGTGTTTCTTTGCTTTCAAATGGTGATTTTTCCTACAAGAAACATAATTACACAGTAGTGATTAAAATCTACTCAATTTAGTTAATAAATAGCTTATATAGGTATTAAATAAGTGTATAAAAACACACTGATCAATACTCCCAAACTTAAGCTCGTGCTCGTCTTGAGCAAGATTATCAATTTCACAATCATGCAAAATAAGATAAAAATCAACACATTAGATAGCTTGGCAAAAATATCGATGAGCGTGACTGTGAAATTGTATAATCAATTCTCAAATATGCTCCAAATAATGCTAAAATAAATAACCTAAACTTATACAATATCCGATTGGTGTGTGTGTGTATATGCATAGTCATTTTCAATCATCATCTGAATTTGGAAAAGAAGAAAAAAATTTAAATTAGCTCAAACCCGACCCTTAGTGGTTAAATATTTCCTGAGATTTACGCACTCAAATAGATATTCATTTTCTTTCCCCAGGCGTAAATCTAAAGGTTGCTCTCAAATCACTCATTTCTTTTCCCACTCTTGTTCGATTGGGCATAATCGATAATCTCAACATCTAGACATATAATAATTTCAGGTTTTACCTCACTCTTTCAAGTTTTCTTTTTGACATTTATAGCGAGCTTTAGGTCGATAGCTCATTAGTTGTTTAGACAAAAGAGTACCAAGTTTTGAGATACCCCAACGAACTTGATAACTCGAGTCAAACAGGTTACGAAGCGAGGCCTATGATCTAACAAATGCAATATCATTTTTTAAGCCGAAAAACTACATGGGGTTTAGATCCATAGTATATGGTCATTACCCAGCTTATACTTGGTAAAAGACGTTCCACACATTTTTTTATATGTGTGGAATTAACACACTTCTAGATAAGATCCTTCATCGTTTTGATCAACCCCCAAATTTGTCTCACAATATCATTAAGTGAAAAAGAATTGGATATAGGTTGATCTAAATTTTCAAGCAACTCACAATCTAGTTCTACCAATTCAAAATTGTCTCCATCATTCAAAAATTTCCACATCTAGATAACAATTAATCACGACTATTGTTCTTCAAGTTTTTTGGGATCTCATATGGACAAACATATATTTTTAAATAAAAATTAAGATCAAATAGTATATTTGGTCATACCTCATGAATCAACAATAATTTTAAACATCAAACAATCCTAAGCTGGCAAGCTATCTAATATGTCAATACAATCACCTCCAAACTTAAACCACACATTGTCCTCAATATGAAAAAGAACAAAATAAAAGGTAAGATGGGGATTTACGAAACTTCCCCTGTTGGATATTTGGTGAAGGGGGTACCAGTGCTTGACTTAGACTTGTGATGCTTTCAATGAACCTGGGCAAGTGACCTTTTTGTACAACACTTCACTTCCAAACTTGTTAGGAACAATATATATATTGGACTTTAAATTATCTACAAAAAAGATAGCTATTCATATATTTTAAAAAAATGCATAAAAGTAAGCCACTGTTTGTCACCCGTTATTTTACATTCTATCACATTTTTTTCCCTACAATAGTCATATTCAACCACTCATTTTTCATCAAAATAATATTACACGCAAACAATAAACTTTTCAATCTTTTTTAACCACACATTCTTCATTAATCTATTATTTCATAATACATTTTTTTTTAAATTAAAGAGGCTCAAACATACCCTAAACAAAGAGATTAAAAGTTAAAAAATTGAGTTGTCTCTCAATAAGTGCTTTTTATAATCTTTAACCTGACTTTGCTAATTGAATCACGAGAACCTAAAGAAGGCTTTGGATGCCTCGTCCATTCTTCTTCGTTTGGCCTAACTCCACTTCTCATTTGATCTCCATACCTCTACCTTGCCCTTCTTAACATAATAGGACTTATCTATTCCTTCTGGCTCAACTTCAATTATATAGATTTCTACCTCCTCAAGGGCTTAATCACAAAATTAGTTTTTAGACAATCAATAAAGTAAAAAGAATGTATGTCGATTTCATCTTCATCGATTTCTACATCTTCGTTCGGTTCTTTTGTGACTAAATTGTCATTCACGTTAAGCTCTCCTACAATCTTCGTTATCTCTTCAGATTGAAGGACTAATTCGCAATCTAGATCCATAGACAATGAGA